GCTCTTGGATTTCTTTAATAATTTTCCTACCTCCAAGCTCCCCTGATGATCAGTTTCTGCCTGGGGACACCAGGCAACTGGCCATGGTGGGGATGGTGACCTGAGACTCCTGGACCACAATGCAGGTGAGATATGCAACTTACAGAGTGAAAAGGAACAATGTCACTGCTGGGTCATTTTGAAGATGAGGCTTAGGCGATGGATTAAAGGCTTAAATGTTAGACCTAAAACCATAAAAACCCTAGAAGAAAACCTAGGCAATACCATTCAGGCCATAGGCATGGGCAAGGACTTCATGTCTAAAACACCAAAAGCAATGGCAACAAAAGCCAAAATTGACAAATGAGATCTAATTAAACTAAAGAGCTTCTGCACAGCAAAAGAAACTACCATCAGAGTGAACAGGCAACCTACAGAATGGGAGAAAATTTTTACAATGTACCCACCAGACAAAGGGCTAATATCTGAATCTACAAAGAACTCAAACAAATATACAAGAAAAAATCAACCATATCAAAAAGTGGGCAAAAGATATGAACAGACAATTCTCAAAAGAAGACATTTATGCAGCCTACAGACACATGAAAAAAATGCTCATCATCACTGGCCATCAGAGAAATGCAAATCAAAACCACAATGAGATACCATCTCACGCTAGTAAGAATGGAGATCATTAAAAAGTCAGGAAACAACAGGTGCTGGAGAGGATGTGGAGAAATAGGAACACTTTTACACTGTTGGTGGACTGTGAACTAGTTCAACCATTGTAGAAGACAGTGTGGCGATTCCTCAAGGATTTAGAACTAGAAATACCATTTCACCCAGCGATCCCATTACTGGGTATACACCCAAAGGATTATAAATCATGCTGCTATAAAGACACATGCACACGTATGTTTATTGTGTCTCTATTCACAATAGCCAAGACTTGGAACCAACCCAAATGCCCATCAATGATAGACTGGATTAAGAAAATGTGGCACATATACACCATGAAATACTATGCAGCCATAAAAAAGGGTAAGTTCATGTTCTTTGTAGGGACATGCATGAAGCTGGAAACCATCATTCTCAGAAAACGATCACAAGGGCAGAAAACCAAACACTGCATATTCTCACTCATAGGTGGGAATTGAACAATGAGAATACTTGGACACAGGAAGTCACACACCAGGGCCTGTCGTGGGGTGGGGGGAGGGGGGAGGGATAGCATTAGGAGATATGCCTGATGTAAATGACGAGTTAACAGGTGCAGCACACCAACATGGCGCATGTATACATATGTAACAAACCTGCACGTTGTGCACATGTACCCTAGAACTTAAAGTATAATAATAAGAAGAAGAAGAAGATGAGGCTTAGGCAACACATATCCCTTAAATCCAGTCTATGAGGGAACCACAAAGTCCTTATCCTTTGCAAATTCTAGCAGAGAGGTTGTACTAGTTTTGGAGAGAGACCTCAAAACCAAGATCCTGTTTCTTGACACAGCTTATCCTGGTGAAGCTCCCTGGCCAAGCGCAAACTCCCAGGTTGAGCACAAACAGCCTTCACCAATGGTACCATCAGCCCTCAAAGAGGAGGTGACACTAACACTGTAAGTGGGCAGCTTCTCTATGGTCTGCTGCCTGGAGAACTTTGCCTCAATCACTGGTGACCACCTGGGGAATTCCCAGGAACTACTCTTCAAAGGTACACTCGGATGGCCCCTCTGCAAAGCCATTTTGTTCCCTTACTGTACCTCTGAAATAATTTGTTATCCAAGCATTTGCAAATCCACCTGTCTTCTGTGTGTGGCTTTCTATGTGGCATATCTATAGATATTGAGGGTGAAAAACAAGGGTAAGACTATTGCTTTTCCTAGGGAGCTCACAGTTCACTGGATGAGACAGAAGGAAGCCACTGACTCTGAAAGGGAACAGGATGTGGCAAAGGTGGGGCAGAGGGGTAAGCACAGAGGGGATCAAGAGAAGGGAGAGAAAGGCCATTGTCATGAGTGCAGCCTTTCTGGGGAGCAATGTGTGAGCTGAGCTTTGGAGAAGAAATGAGGGTTTAAAGAGTGTGGGAGAAGAACTTTCCAAGATGTATGGGGAGACAAATGCCCCTCCTCCCTGCCGCTCACCCTCCTGCAGCTGTTCCCTTCTTCCCTCTGTCCTAGCTCAGCAGTCACAACAACTCTCCAAATCAGGACACTCAAAATGCCACTTCTGAAAAGAACATCATGGCTGGGCGCAGTGGCTCAAACCTGTAATCCCAGTACTTTAGGAGGCCAAGGTGGGTGGATCATCTGAGGTCAGGAGTTCGAGACCAGCTTGACCAACATAGGGAAACACTGTCTCTACTAGATTAAAAAAAAAATTAGCTGGGCATGGTGGTGCATACCTGTAATCCCAGCTACTTGGGAGGCTGAGGCAGGAGAATCACTTGAACCTGGGGAGAGGAGCTTGCACTGAGCTGAGATCGCACCAACGCACTCCAGCCTGGGTGACAGAGCAAGGCTCCATCAAAAAAAAAAAAAGTCCGAGTTCCAGGTAGGTGCCTCTGCTTCTTCTGACTTGATCTACCTCCCCTGCCCTCTTTGTGTCTCTCTCATATAGTTCTTTCCACTCACTCAACCTCCACACTCCCTTGACAGCAGATGAAAAAATTTGCAGCTCTGAATCCCCATCTGCTTGTGTGTGATTTGTATCCTCTGTGAGTCAACAAGGTGAACATATTCCTCATTTGGTTATGGGATTTTTTTAAAAAACGTCTCAAACAGGCTTTGCTCCATGAGAAAGTAAATCCATTCAGCTACAAAGAGAAAGGAAAGGGACAGCCATCCACCATTTGACTCCTGAGTTTCCATCAGCACCCTTCAACACTTATTAGGACTTACATGAAACTATGTGACAACTTTCTATTTCTATCAAACTACAGCCTTCTTCCTTGTATCTGAAGAAGTTGGCACCCTCTACACAGAATAGGAGAGCACAGTTCCAATAGTTATTGTATACATCACTGACCGTTCTTACTACTCCTCAAAATTCCTCGCAGGTCCACCAAATGTTCTGTTTCTTGAAGATTAAATTATAAAATTAAATTTCAATGATATGCATATATAATTAATGAACCCAGAGAAAAGATCATAGTGGTGAGCATATAATATAAATGTGTACATATAACAAAAAATATGGAAAGCTACTGTCATACTTGTTTCTCTAATCTCTCATAAGGTTATTTTATTTATTTTTTTTAGACAAGGTTTCACTCTGTCATCCAGACTAGAGTGGAGTGGCCCCGTCATGGCTCACTCCAGCCTGGGCTTCCTGGGCTCAACTGATCCTCCCACCTTAGTCTCCAGAGAAGCTGGGACTCACAGCATACATAAAAATTAATTTCAAAATGGATCAAAGACCTAAATATAACAACTAAACTATAAAACATTTTGAAAAAAAGCACATAAGGGTAAATGTTTGTAACTTTGGATCAGAAAAATAATTTTTTAAATATGACACCAAAAGTAAAAGTGGCCAAGCATGGTGGCTCACACCTGTAATCCCAGCACTTTGGGAGGCCAAAGCGGGAGGATCTCTTGATCCCAGGAATTTGAAATGAGTCTGGGCAACATAAAGAGACCCCATCTCTACAAAACAAAATAAAAAAAATTACTTGGGTATGGTGGCATGTGCTTGTAGTTCTACTCTAGCTACTCAGGAGGCCAAGGCAGGAAGGTCACTTAAGCCGAGGAGTTTGAGGCTGAAATAAGCCATGGTTGTACCACCATGCTCCAGCCTGGGTGGCAGAGTGAGACCCTGTCTCAAAAAAAAAAAAAAAAAGTACAAGTGACAAAAACAAAATTGGAGTTAATCAAATTAAAAACTTATGACTTCAAAGTCCACCACCAAGAAACTAAAAAGACAACCCATAAGATGGGAGAAAAACTTGGCAACTTGTTTATGTGTTAAGGGACTTGTACCAGAATACATAGGGAACTCTTAACAGCGCAATAAAAGGCAAGTAACCCAGGTGAAAAAATGAGTAAAGGATTTGCACATTTCTCCAAGATGATACACAAATTGCCAATAATCACATAATTAGATGCTCAACCCCATTAGTCACTAGGGAAAGGCAATCAAAAGCAGAATGAGATGCCACTTTATACCCCTTAGAATGGCTATGATAAAATCTACAGACAAGAAGAACAAGTGTTGGCGAGGATCGGGGAGAAATGAAACCCTCATACACTGCTATTGGGAATGGGAAATGGTACAGTCATTTTAGAAAACATGTTGGTGACCAGGTGTGATGGCCCACGCCTGTAATCCCAGCACTTTGGAAAGCCAAGGTGGACAGATTGCCTGAGCTCAGGAGTTTGAGACCAGCCTGGGCAATATGGTGACACCTCATCTCTACAAACAAATAAAAAAAAAAATTACCTGGGTGCAGTGGCATGCGCCTGTAGTCCTAGCTACTTGAGGGGCTGAGACTGAAGGACTGCTTGAACCCCGGAGGTCAAGGCTGCAGTGAGTCATGTTCGTGCCACTGCACTCCAGCCTGGGTGGCAGAGCAAGACCTTGTCTTAGAACAACAACAACAAAACAAAACAAACCATAAAATAGGTTGGAAATTCCCCTAAACAATTAAACATAGAGTTACACTTTGACCCAAAAATTAGAGGCCGAGTGTGGTGGCTCATGCCTGTAATCCCAGCACTTTGGGAGACTGAGGCAGGTGGATCACCTGAGGTCAGGAGTTCGAGACAAGCCTGGCCAACATGGTGAAAACGCATCTCTACTAAAAATACAAAAAATTAGCCAGGTGCAGTGGTGTGCACCTGTAATCCCAGCTACTTGGGAGGCTGAGCAGGAGAATCACTTGAACACAGGAGGCGGAGGTTGCAGTGAGCTGAGATCACGCCATTGCACTCCAACCTGGGCAACAAGAGTGAAACTCTGTCTCAAAAAAGAGAAAAATTATACTCTTACATATGTACACAGAAATGAAAACATATGTCTATGTAAACCTTTACACAAGTGTTCATAGCAGCTTTATTCATAATAAACAAAAGTGGAAACAGTCCAAATGTCCACCAGCTGATGAATGGCTCAATGTAATAGATGCATACAAGGGAATAATTTTCAGCAAAAAAAGAATGAAGTTCCAGGCCAGGCAGGGCAGCTCACGCCCATAATACCAACATTTTAACAGGCTGAGGAAAGAGGATGATGTCACCCTGTTGCCGGAGAGGGTGTCCTAAATGTGAGTTGTCCAGCCAGGATGTGGCCTGTATGCTACACCCGCTATTCTTGGCATATTGGGCAAGGGATTGAACAAAATGCCAGAGTGGGCACAGATTTATTGAAGAAAATTCAGAGTGGGATTGGGCTTGAGCAAGCGGCTGCTCAAGAGCCCCCTCAATTACAGTTTTTATTAAAGAAAAAACCCGGCAACATCCCTCGGTGCCCTTCAGAGGCCTCCAGTTGACCACACCTCATAAAGGATTGGCCGGAGACCAATCAGAGGCTGAAGTGGCTTGTTGTCATGGGAGCAAGGATGTGGCCTAGATGCTGCACCTGCTGTTCTTCTGCTCCTTTGAACTGGCTGCACCTGCTGTTCTTCCAACCCTGCGGCACTGGCTGTGCCAGCTGAAACCCTGGTTACCCTAATTCCCTATTCTCCTGCCTCATTTCCCCCTGAGAGATATGATCCCCATAAATCTTTATGGGAGGCAGAAGGGCTGAAGATCAGCTTTCTGTAGCTACTTTCTGCTGGCCATGGGCATTGCCCCTGCCTATTGAGGATCGTGGCTCTCTGTCCCTAGGTAGTTAGGTGGGTATCCATAGGTTGTGGCGAGCCTTGTACGTGGTTGTAAAAGGTGCAGCTGGCTTGATCCAGTCATGACAGGTGGGTATTTTGGCCTGATTTTGGATTTTGTTCCAACATTGGCTGAAACCCTTATACAAGCATCTGTAAGTGAGAGAGCAAAAATCAGTTAACATTTTACACCAGGGAAAATCGTTAGGTATTTACTCATCTTCTGTCTTTTAAATAGGTAGTTCAGGTCTTCTATGGGTTCACAGGTATAGTAGCTGGTGGGAGCCTCTGGTTGCAGGTTCAGGACTTCAGATATTGCAGGCTTAAACCTGGAAAGAGGTATCCAACTATCTAATGCTAGTACTTTGACCGTGGAAGGCATGGCCAACACCAGTGAAAACGGTCCCTTCCATTAGGGTTGTAGTTGTTGAGTGGGTGACTCCTCATTCCATGTTTTAACAAGTACCTTATCTCCTGGCCTGATCTTGGTTTGCTGGTTAGTTCCTGATGCGGGGAGCCTTTGAGTTCCAAACTCTCGCAAAACCTGCTGAAATCGTCCAAGGTTAACTAGGTATTTTATTAACCCAGCCGTTTCTGGATCAGTAATTAGATCATTAGTTAAAATGACCTCACATATAACATTTTATATGGGCTCATATTAATTTTTGTTCCTGGAGAATAACGGTTTTTAAGAGGGCTATGGGCAGTAAGTTGATCCAAGTTTCTGATGTTTCCTGACATAGCTTAGCTAATGCCCATTTTGAAGTTTGATTAGCCCTTTCTACTTTCCCTGAGGATTAAGGCCTCCATGCTGAGTGTAAATAGTATTTGATTCTGAGAGCCTTAGCAATGCTTTGAGTTGTTTGCGAGGTGGAAGACGAGCGATTATTACTTTGGAGGCTTTGGGGCAACCCAAACCAGGGGATTATTTCCTTCAAGAGAACCTTGATAACCTCATTAGCCTTCTCCGTTCTGGTAGGGTAGGCTTCAACCCAGCCAGTAAAGTTGCTTCATTCTCTCCTTGACTCCAGCTGTCTTTCTGGAATCAGGTGCAGGTTGCTAACTGGGTCTTAGAGTAATTGTCTTCCCAAATCTCACCCTCCTTTGTGATGTATTCCTCCCAGTCTTTTTATTATTATTATTATTATTATTATTATTATTATTATTATTGGAATCTACTTCTTTGGATGATGCCTGCTGGTGTTCTCAAAGGTTCCTGACTAGTTGTGTCCTTTATAAAATAATCCGATAATATTTTAGCTTCTTCCTGAATTTTGTAGCATATTTTTGAGCTTCTGCTAAACCCATTTTTGAGTCTCATGACATTTTACATGTATGGAATTGTGCCAATAGAAACAAAATGTGGTCATATAGCCTCTCCCAATGCTTCAACCAAATCGGTTTACATCAGACCCTGGCAGCTTCTGCTGTCATTGGATCTCAGTGAGGCCTTTGCACCCATTCCCTCCCTTTGTGATTCATCCACAGACATCTCCCTCCATTGATTTGAGAACCATCTCAGCAATATTCCTGGCCTTATTCTAGTCCTCACTCCATCTCACTGCCTGCTGTTTCCTGTGAAATAAAGAAATGCCCCACACTTTAGAGGGTAAAAACAAAAATTAGAGGTTAGAGAGGGTGGACTTGTCAAGAAGACACAGAGCTGGGAGTGTGGTAAGCCCTTAAAACGGGGGCTCAATGATACCGCTGCCTCCCAGGGATCGCCAATATTTGAGAGTCCCAGTGAACTGGGATGAACTCAGGGCCCAAGAAGGGCTGTCTGACCCTCCCACCTTCAAAACTACACCCAGTGCACATGGCGTGAGGGGCTTCCATGGTGATGGTAATGAAACCTCACCTGCCATCTCTCCCATTACTGCTGTGCCCCATTACTGCTGAGTCCCCTCTCATCCCATTCTGTGCTGAGTGTCCAGATGTGATCAATAGAATCAAGGGGAAATGTTCTGAGAGGAAAGGGGTTAGAGTCAGATGATGGGCTTTGAGCTGTGAACTCAGAGCCTTCAAACCTGGGGAACTCAACAGCAGTGCCAAGAAGAATGGGGGACATTGGGGTTTGAGTTTATGTTTGGAAGAATATAAGCATGACTTGGAGACTGCTATGTTCTTGTGTCCCCAGCAAGCAGAGCTAGGAGCCGCTGGAGGGAAGGTTGGTGCTAGAAGTTCATGTGAGAACAGGGCAGACACCTGCATAAATGTGTGTGGTGTAGGGGCGGGGGTCGGGGAGGGGGGGCTCCCAGGCACTGCAGGTGTTTGAATCAAGGCCCAAACACTGTGGCAGGAGTACTCCCAGGGAACTCAATCATTTATTTTACTAGGGCTTTAACATAAAGTATCAGTTCTTAAGAAAATCGGCAACAAATGAGTGAAAATCTCATTTAATTGGCTATGAGATGTTGTGCAGGTGGAAATCTGGGTTAAGTGTGAAATCATTATCACCAAATTGTTGCAACAGATTACCAATGCAGCAATCATGCATAGCTGTGAGGGCTCAAGTAACGGAGCGGGTGGCCAGCACCCTGGCAGAGGGAGACAGCACAGGAAAAGGTCTTTGTGACTCAGGTCATAGAGAGGAAATGGTTTTGTGGGCAGGCAACGAGGAAAGGGGGACAGAGTAGCTGTATCCTGAAATAAAGCCTCTTAGGGATTATTTGACCATTTGTTTCTCCGTGTGAATGCATAACTTTGATTGTAAAAATAGAAAAGCGCCTCTTTCCTGACAACACCCAGTCCCTGAGCCCCACAGATGGCGTTCTGGTTTCTTGCAGGAGTTTCTCATCCCACCTGCCTGCTCCCTTTTAGGACAAACCTACCAGCAAGGAGGTCTTCTAGCTCTTCCTGTGTGTGCTCTCCTTCTGGTCCTGGCTTTGGCCCCAGGGACCTCTGGGTTCTCTCAGCTGCACTTCCATCCAACCTCAGTGCCTAGGACTCTGTGCCTGACCTCCTCCAGGCAGGGCTGCTGCCCCCATGTGTCCACCTGGTACGGGGCTCCCATGGCAGCCCTCCTCCGATGACCAAGTGTGCTGGGGATGCTAAGGCTGACTTGTTGCTGGCACAGCCAAACCTTCTTTGCTGGCTGTTTCCAAGACTCCCTAAAGGCTCCACGGATTTTCCTTAGAACACAGTCCTGAGCAGTCCCACCCATCCTCTTCCCCTCTCTCCCCCACACTGGGGGTCACACTTGCTTCATGGTCTAGTGGCTTACCCAGTTTTTTCTTGTTCTTTTCATGTATGTCTGTTCCCTCCTAAAACCCTTGCAATTTAGTCTTGGTGTCTGTTTCTCAGAGGAGCTCGGTAACAGACCCCACACTCTCTTCTCCCAGTCCCTGCTGCCCCTGTTGCAAGGTGGGGACCACAGAGCCAGCTTCCCTTGTCCAAACCATAAGCTAGCCCTTAGCAAAGTGGAGCCCCCCACTAAGGGTTGCGTTTCTCCTTGTTCCTGCTAGTCACATCCAGCACATCTGGGCTACCACCCTTGATGGCAACATTAGATTGGGGGTCACTGTTGTCATAACAGGGGTGGACCAGGTGGCAGAGTCTTCAGTCACCATGGTAACCCCAGCATCCAGTGCTAGCAGATGTTTTAGAATAGAGGCTCAGATGCTCACGGATGCAGCCCCACTCCTCCGCCCCTCCCTGCAGCTGCTGGGCAGGCCTCCTGGGCTCATCACTGCCTTCTGGCAGGGCCTCAGTGGCAGCCAGCTCTGGAAGGCATCCTCACTCTGGGTTCAGGAGCTTGCTGAGCTTCTACTTGAAAGTTTGAAGTTAGAATGTCCCTTTTCTGAGTTATATTTTTCTGCTGCAGATTTTGGACATTTCCTGAGGGATACTGAATACATGGGGGTCGATGGAGGGGAGGAAGGAGGGGCTAGAAGGAAGGAAAGGGCTATCACTGGGTGGGCCCTCTGGGACAGGGCAGGGACAGCTCTAGGGGACTTCACAGGGAGGAATGAGGAGTGGGATGCAGTGACATCACAAGGGTCCCATTGTGACCCCTCCACTATCAGCTAAGGCGGGATTGGCTGAGCCTGAACAGAGGCAGACGGGAGTAAATAAGGGGCTGTTGCCAGAGCCTGAGCCCACCAGAGAAAGTCTGTGCAGAGGGCGGGCCTCGGTTCCTGCTGCTCCTTCATCCTGACCCCTTCACACCCTCCTCTAACAAGGACCTTGACCTCCCTTCTCCACTCTCCTGGATCCTGCTCAGTGTGGCGCCGGCCTTCTCTGGGGCCCTGGAGTTCCCACTGACCTTCAGCCCCGCCAGTTGCATCTGCTGTTCCCACTGCAGGTTAGTGGACAGAGTGAAGGTGACTAATGGTGTAGAGGATACTTCGTGAGAGGGGGACCCCAACACAGGGACAGAGCACTGATGGAGCCTTTACCAAAATGCTGGGAAAGGTCTCCCCACGATCCCATACTCTCTCCCAGGCCTCAAAGGGCCCTCCCCAGTCTCCAGCTGTCAGCTTTCCCACCCCCACCTTCTCTCCTCCTTTCGGTTCTGCTCCTGAATTTCTTTAAAAATTCTCCTGCATCAAGATTCCCCTGCTAGTCAGTTCCTGCCTGGGGTCACCAGGCTGCTTCAAAGTCAGGAAGAACATGGTGGGGATGGTGACCTGAGTTTCCCAGACCACAGTGCAGGTGAGAAGTGTACCCTACAGAGTGAAAAGGCACAGTGTCATCACAGGGTCATTTTAAAGTTGGAACTTAGACAACAGATGTCCCTTAAATCCAGTCTATGAGGACACCACAAAGACCATATCCTTTGCAAATTCTAGCAGAGAGGTTGTACTAGATTGGGAGAAAGTCCTAAAGAGCAAGATCCTGTGTCTTGACACAGTTTACCCTGGAGATGCTCACTGGCCTAGCACAAACTCCCAGGTCAAGCACAAATAGCCCTCAGAGAGGAGGTGGCACTAACACTCTAGGCGGTGGCTGCTCTATGGTCTGCTGCTGCCTGAAGAGCTTTGCCTCCATCACTAGTGACCACCTGGGGAATTCCTCAGTGTACTCAGGGGAATTCCTGAGTGTACACCTCAAAGGTACACTTGGATGCCCCCTCTGCAAAGCCATTTTGTTCCCTTGCTGTACCTCTGAAATCATCTGTTATCCAAGTATTTGCAAATCCACCTGTCTTCTGTGTGTGGCTTTCTATGTGGCATATCTATAGACATTGAGGATAAACAGCAAGAGTAAGACTCTGTTCCTTTTCCTAGGGAGCTCACAGTTCACTGGATGAGACAGAAGGAAGCCACTGACTCTGAAAGGGAGCAGGATGTGGCAAAGGTGGGGCAGAGGGGTGAGCACAGAAGAGATCAAGAGAAGGGGGAGAAAGACCATTGTCATGAGTGCAGCCTTTCTGGGGAGCAATGTGTGAGCTGAGCTTTGGAGAAGAAATGAGGTTCTAAAGAGTGTGGGAGAAGAGCCTTCCAAGATGTATGGAGAGACCAATGTCCCCTCTTCCCGCTGTTCCCTTCTTCCCTCTGTCCTTGCTCAGCACAGTCACAACAACCCTCCAAATCATGATACTCAAAATGCCACATCTAAAAAGAACATCCCAGTAGGTGCCTCTGCTTCTTCTGACTTGGCCTCCCTTCCCTGCCCTCTTTGGGTCTCATGCAGTTATTTTCCCTCATCCAACCTCCACAGTCCCTCGACAGCAGATGAAAAAATTTGCATTTCCAAATCCCTGTCTGCTTGTGTATGATTTGTATCCTCTGTGAGTCAACAAGGTGAACATATTCCTCAATTGGTTGTGATTTTTTTTTTTTTTTTTTTGAGATGGAGTCTTGCTCTGTCACCCAGGCTGGAGTACAACGGCATAGTCTAGGCTCACTGCAACCTCCGCCTCCTGGGTTCAAGCAATTCTCCTGCCTCAGCCTCCTGAGTAGCTGGGACTACTGGTGCATGTCACTACACTCAGCTAATTTTTGTATTTTTAGTAGATACAGAGTTTCACCATGTTGGCCACGCTGGTCTCAAACTCTTGACCACATGATCCACCCACCTCGGCCTCCCAAAGTGCTGGGATTACAGGCGTAAGCCACCATGCCTAGCCAGTTGTGAAATTTTAAAAAATGTCTGCAACAGACTCTGCCCCTAAGAAAGCAAATTCATGCACCTACAAAGAAAAAGGAAAGGGAGAGTCACCCACCATTTGACTACTGAGTTTCCATCTGCACCCTTAAACATTTACTAGGACTTACATGAAACTCTGTGACAAAATACACCTTTCTTTTTATTTCTATCAAACAAAATACACCTTTCTTCCCTGTATCTGAAGAAGTTGGCACCCTCTGTACAGAATAGGAGATGCACAGTTCCAACAGTTATTGTATACATCACTGACCATATTAATGACTCCACAAAATCAATCATGGGTCCACCATATATTCTGTTACCTGAAGACTAACTTACAAAATTAAACTCCAACAACATGAATATACAACAAATGAACAGAGAGAAAAGATCAAATTGGTGAGCATATAATATAAACATGTACATATTACAAAGAAAAATATAGAAAGCTACTACCATATCTGTTTCTGTAATTTGTCGTAAGGCCATAATACCATTAAAATTTTTTAATTAATTAATTTTTCACCACACTTCTCTTGCTTTGTGGATTCAGGCCATCATGGATACAATGACTTCTTCCTTTCATTATCCACTCCATATTTCTCCTGCCCTCACCAAGAACCTCAATTCGTCTCAGGTCGTTGTGTTTTAGAGTGACCTAAACCTCCATTCCCAAAGGACTAAGTCCTCAATCATCCTGCCGTCTTTTAGTCGGAGTGCATCCCACTCCTCATTCCTCCCTGTGAAGTCCCCTCGAGCTGTCCCTGCCCAATGCCCTGTCCCAGAGGGCCCACCCAGTGATAGCCCTTTCCTTCCTTCTAGCCCCTCCTTCCTCCCCTCCATCGACCCCCATGTATTCAGTGTCCCTCAGGAAATGTCCAAAATCTGCAGCAGAAAATGCAACTCAGAAAAGGTGACATTCTAACTTCAAACTTTCAAGTAGAAGCTCAGCAAGCTCCTGAACCCAGAGTGAGGATGCCTTCCAGAGCTGGCTGCCACTGAGGCCCTGCCAGAAGGCAGTGATGAGCCCAGGAGGCCTGCGTACCTTCATGATGAGTATGCTCCACTTGGTGCATAGCCTTCATTGTTAGTTACCTTTATCCGTTTCTCCTTAAGGGCAGCCCATTCCATCTTGTAATGGCTCCTGGCACCAGGGCAGTACAGGTCTCCTGATCAGCTTGTGGATTTCAGTGATGTCCATTATTGAAGGGTCTGTTTTCTTGGCATCCACATGAGTCACAAACCGGGGGTTGAAATCTTGTGCAATGTGCACCACAACGTTTGTCCTCATAGAAGCTACAACTTGATCGTCCAGTCATCTCATCACCAGCACCACACCACACTGCCAATTCCACTGTTGATTGCCCACAAGTCAGTGAACTGTAACAAGGTGCCTTCTGGGGGCAGGGGGGTGTTTCTAGGGCAAGTGTTGGCCTGCAACTCCACCCACTGAGCAGAGTTCCCTTTTCCATGCAGTTTTGAGCAATTTCCTTTGGGACCCCACAGCAGCAGCAGCCCAATATCTCCCACTGGCCTTGAACTTAGCTGACCCATCTATGAACCAAGCCCAGGTATCCTCAAGAACTTCAGTGCCCTGAAGTCCCCAAGAAGCCCAAGGTGCTGGCACAGATCCTGTGTCTGAGACAGCCACAACTACAGGGTGACTAGGTACTATTTCATGTAACTGTGAGATGCCATTAATGTCTAGTTTACTTCTTTCCTGGATGTAACACCTCCATTAGTAATGGATGCTTGCTGGGCAATACCCACTTTGTTAGTGTTCTCCTTTCTGACCCACCCCAGGATAGGGATGTCGGCATGTAACAACATGTGCTGTTACTCCCGCTTATGTACTTGTGCCTCTCCATTGTTCTACTTGGTATTTTCTTACAGAGAATGTCCTTTACAGTTAAACATAGTATTACATACACACTCTACATCTATTCCCACAATACGTTCGGCATTATTAATTATAGTCACTCCAGTGTGTATTGGCACAAAAGGTCCCACCCACAAAGATATATCAGCCAATTGTTCAGAGTTACTTCCAAATTCAGTTAATTTTTCAAAATGGGCATGGACATTTCTTGGCACCTCCATGACTTGTGCCGCTGTGTCCAGAAGAATTGACATGTTTGGCAACCTTGGTTGCCATCAAGTCCCTAACACACCGTGCAGGGCATAAGGCCTCGGGTTTTATTATGGACAGAAGTTCCTCAGCCTCTGCCCTGATGCAGTTTATTCTTGAAGATTTTGAAGTCAGGGTAGAAAGTGGAGTTAGATGCATTAGATACGCCCCTGTCCTCACAGCATAGACCTCAGCATGGAGATTCAGGTCTTTCTGGTCATCCTCCAGTTTCTTCACAGTCAGCACCAAAGCTGCTCAGGCATCTTCTCCAGATACTGCTCAGAGCTTTAAGTGTGTTTGCCCTCTCATGGCCTGATAACAAAAGAGAATTTCCCTCATGGGAAGTTCACCAGTATCTCCTCTTTGGGAATCACCTGGCATTATAACCATGTCCATATGGTCCCATAGTTTGGATCTTTGGTTAGATTTTTCTTCCTCCTTATCCTGAAGGCATTTCCCTTGGTGCCTGGAAAGGGCTCACTCAGTGGGCCTCGGTTGCTCAAACCCTGCATATTCCCCAGAAAAGCCTGTCTTCAGGATTGGACTTTGGTGATTTAGGTCACTCATGTTAGACAAAGACCTGAGACAAACTGAGGTTTTCAGTGAGGACAGGGAAAATGTGGAATGGGTAGTGAAACAAGAAAACCAATGTACCATCATGGCCTGATTCCACAAAATAAAAATAAGCATAGTGAAAAGAATAAAATTTTTTAAATCAATTTTTATATTTAAAAAGTTTTTAAATACATATTTTAAAAGGTGTCATGGCCTCATGATAAATTACAGAAACAAGTATGGTAGTAGCTTTGCATATTTTTCTAATATGTATACATTAATATTACATGCTCACCACTTTTTTCTCTCCATTCATTTGTTGTATATACATGTTGTTGGAGTTTAATCTTATAATGTAGTCTTCAGGTAACAGAATATTTGGTGGACCTGTGATAGATTTTGAGGAGTGACTAATATGGTCAGTGATGTATACAATAACTGTTGGAACTGTGCATCTCCTTATTTGGTGTAGAGGGTGCAAACTTCTTTACATACAAGGAAGAAAGTTCTACTTTGTTTGATAGGAATAA